TGTGTAACATATTCGCCTACACTAGTAGCAAGGGTACAGTTCGCCTGTGCGACATGCGGCAGCGTGCTCTTTGTGATGAACATTCTAAATGTAAGCAGCGAACGACATGATAACAGCGAACTGTCTTTTGTCGAGCTTGTTTGATCAACGAAGTTTTTTTACAGTTTTCGAAGAGGCCGAGGACCCGGCGCATAGGACGTTTTTCTCCGAAATCATCTCAAGCATATCGGACGTGAAATTTTCCTTCAGTGGCAAGTACATGCTAACCCGGGATTACCTTACCGTTAAGGTAAGGTTCGGTTACATGCATTACATTGTACATTTGATTCTGTAATAAATGTTATTTGTCGTTAAAACACTTTCGTTGATTCATGGTTGAGGGTAACAAGCAATATCTATGGAAGTTTTTTTTGCAGATGTTTCACTACCACACACTGGTAGCACAATCAGACACAACGATGCTGCAGGTGTAGTATCGAAGCGCCTTACAAATAGATTGTTTTTGCTGTAATAACTCGGCGCGCACTAAAATGAATTTTAGAAAAAATGATACCGTTTACAATCATTCGGTTTTGTTGGTTGCACCCTGAACCATGAATCAACAAAAAGGTTGAAGTTCAAAAGGTTGCAGTTCAAACAACGAGCCCAAAATCGAAAAACAAATCGTTTGCATAAGAGATGTGTAATCTGGTCTTTCAGGAAAACGACGCGAAGGAATTTATTACTGTTTAATTTATTAATTTACTTAATGGGGATTAAGCAAGTATGGTAAACTGTCCATGCCTGTCGACCTGAGATTTCTAGCCTTCCTTTCGTTGCGAGTACTCTTGGACTGTCGCTATGGTCTGATTCGAACTCCACTCAGGGAACAGGGATCAGTTTTGCTGAAACATTCATTTTCATTATGATCGTGGCAAATCACTTGATTGCTGCAGGCGCATGCGCAAGTGATGTATGTATGTATGTTTATATGTGTATGTTTGTCTTGGGCCCTTCTGCCATTCCTCCACTTTTCTTTGGCCTTAGT